ACATCATTCCTCGTCCACTCCAAATTCAACAATGACGTTACAGACAAAAGCCAAAGCAGACGTTTAGTCATCATGAAGTAATCCTCAGGATATGACATGTCTGGTTACTGGAGACTCAAATGGTGGTGCTGGTTGAAAGGTTTGGCCAATGTCTTTAAAAAAATTATCATGGTAACTATCAGGGCTATTCAGATGCACTATTCAGAACTGAACTGAGAATGTCTTTAAAATTCCTAAATTTTAATTTTATTTGAGGTGGAAAACAGGATATAATTTAAAATAAAGGAAATAAATAAAGGAAGTAGAATTACAATGAATAGAAAAAAAAACTAAAAAACTCATAACTGGGATAAAAGTGAAAGTTTTTAGAAAAATGTTACTGACCCCAATCTTTTGAACAGTAGTGGATATAATTCTATATATACTTTATAAGTTGTATTTGCAAATGTCAACAGGCACACAAATGTCTAGTGCATTTCTGTCAAATGCAGCTGTACATTATATTAGATTATTTTAGGAGGGCCAATCATCCGAGCCGCTTCAACAGTTTGAGAGAGACTTTTTCACAGTCAAGGTTTCTTTGGTCATTTAATTTATAACCTTTTTCCCTGCACCTGGATTGTTTAGGTTCTCAAGGCCGTCTGACTCTCACAGTGTGTCGGCAGCTCAAAGCTGAACACAAACAATCAAACCAATAACCCTGGCCTAACTGGGGCATGGGCCCAATGTAATCGAACCAGTGACTCACAAAGGCACCTCGCCAGATGGTTTTCACATGTCGCTCAGAAGGTTAATGGAAAAGAACTCGACTGAAAGGAGAACAAGAGAGCAAGCTTACAGCCGTCCCCACGTTCACAAGAGTAAAAACCACTCAATATCTCACAAGTCGAAGACATTATCTTTCTGTCCTTTACTTGGAGGAGTATGTAGATGGTATGTTTGGTTTACGGAGATGATATAATGAATCAAACTCTTCTCATCTGGAAAAAAAATGAGCAGTATAAGCAGCACCTGATATCTCACTTTAGGTAAAGAAGCTCAGGGTGGTCTTCAAGCTGTGCCTTCATCATCAAACATGTAAAGAACTGTATTTTGCAAGTGAATTGCCACATTTTAGACCAAAGTGCAGCTTTTGTAGCGTTTTGTGCCCAGTAACAGTAGAGTTCAGCTCATCATTAAAACATACATCAATGTAATTCCAGGCCTATTCATGCACAACAACGGCAGGCAACCTTTTCAAAGAGCCAGACCATGAGAGCTAATGAAGTGCTAAATGTGGAGAGCAAACTTCATTTTCATATGTAAATATTCAAAGGTTGCGGGGCGAAGGCAGACATATTTTCTCTGGAACAACACTGAGGAGAGGGAGAGAAAGAGAAAAACATTCTGGGAGGCACTTGATTGTGTGCGGGCTTTTTTCTTCGTTGCGTCGCTGTGTGATGGTGGAGCTTCAAACAATTAGAGCCAATTAAAAGGTATTGAGTCGAAACAAACCCAGTGGGGAGGGCTTCAGTGTAAATACCACAGATCCTTCTCATGCACGTTCCTCTGTGAAAAGCCAAGTGGCTCCTCTCATCTGTATTCCGCCCTCTCAAAGAGAAGAGTGAGAAATACGAGGAAGGGATTCTACAGAGCCAAGTGGCATTGTATTACCAGCCGCATTTGCCTAAAGTTACACGATGTGCTTTGACGAGCTGCCATTGTACAAGGAAGATGTCCTCTCTAGGTCTGAAATGCTTCCAGTTCTCATGGGCCAAGAAGGCCATGCTTGGAAAAACAAAAGACAAAACAAAAACAAATAAAAAACCTTTAAAAAGATGTGAAAGGAGAACATGGGGTCACCTGATTTAAGGGTCACATTGAAAGTGCTGTGGAGAATTGAGCAGGGAGGTTTGTGGCAGATCATTAAAGCAAATTAGCAGCGAAGGGAGGGGAACAGTAGCCTTTTTAATGCGTTACTTGTCGATGTAGAATCCATAATAGCAATAGTTCACCCAAAAATACAAATTCTGTCATCATTTACTCACTCTCATGTTGTTTCAAACTTTAACAGAAATTCTGTGTAATGCACTAGTTGCTATTTTCCATGCGAATAAATGGGTACTAGAGATTTCAAAAGATTCAAAATGGTTGTGAAAGCACCATTGAAGTTTCATAAAAGTGGTCTATACGCACTGTATTTCAAGTCTTCTGAAGCTATATAATAGTTTTGTTGAACCAACAAACCACAAAGCTGTATCTTTAAGTCAGTGAGAACCGGATTAGTCTGATTCATAAATGAATCATTCAGACTTGTTTTTTGAACTGGAACATACGATTCATTGAATTGACTCAAAAGAATGATTCACTCACAAATTGAACATCTTTTCATAAAATGAGAGTCTATTGAATAGCTTTAGAGAGTGAACAAATGATAACAGAAATTTTATTTTGGTGGACTAAATAAAAAAAAACAAAGTGTTTTAAATAGTGTTAAATAAAGTGTTGAAAATGAAAATTAGCCCATGATTTACTCACCCTCAGGGCATCTTAGGCGTATCTGACATTCCTCTTTCAGAACGAATCCAATCGGAGTTATATTAAAAATTGTCCTGGCTCTTCCAAGCTACTGGAAGTAAGTAAATGGTGCCCCTGTTTTTGAAGCCAAAAAAAGTGCATCCATCCATCATAAAACTACTCCACACGGCTCCGGGGTGTTAATAAAGGCCGTCTGAAGTGAAACGATGCGTTAGTGTAAGAAAAATATTGATTTTAATTTATAAACTGTAATCTCCAGCTTCCTGTCGCTCAAGCAGGCACGTTCACGACAAGGCATTCGAGCGTATGACGTAGGCGTAGCGGAAGGCTCAACGTAAGACCCCAATGTAAGTTTGGAAGAGCCAGGACATTTTTAAATATAACTGCGATTGTGTTGGTCTGAAAGAGGAATGTCAGATACGCCTAGGATGCCCTGAGGGTGAGTAAAACATGGGCTAATTTTCATTTTTGGGTGAACTACCCCTTTAAGTAGTTAGAGAAAACCTTCTCTTCCAAGGCATCCTAGGTGTGTATGACTTTCTTCTTTCAGACGAATCCAATCGGATTTATATTAAAAATTATCCTGGCTCTTCCAAGCTGTATAATGGCAGTAAATGGTGCCCCTGTTTTTGAAGCCAAAAAAAGTGCATCCATCCATCATAAAACTACTCCACACGGCTCCGGGGTGTTATTAAAGGCCGTCTGAAGTGAAACGATGCATTAGTGTAAGAAAAATATTGATTTTAATTTATAAACTGTAATCTCCAGCTTCCTGTCGCTCAAGCAGGCACGTTCACGACAAGGCATTCGAGCGTATGACGTAGGCGTAGCGGAAGGCTCAACGTAAGACCCCAATGTAAGTTTGGAAGAGCCAGGACATTTTTAAATATAACTGCGATTGTGTTGGTCTGAAAGAGGAATGTCAGATACGCCTAGGATGCCCTGAGGGTGAGTAAAACATGGGCTAATTTTCATTTTTGGGTGAACTA